GGTGTAAGAACGTCACTCTGTTTGCGTGTGTGACTTTTTCGAATCGCAGTTCTCTATAGGATTGCATGAAATTGTGCATATAAATTATTTAGCTCAAACCTATGTGATTGTAGTAGTAGTATTCTTACGTTTAATTGTAGTCGTAAGAGGAGCCTGCCCTGCGACCCCTAATTGAAGTTGCCCTCCTACAGCCTTTGGACCCGAGGATAGGACTACGTGAGCCTGTAAAAACACATATCCCCATGCAATCTTCAAAACTTCCAATTTCATAACTTTACTGTACTGATATTTATCGTTTTCCTCACGTGTCTCGTTACAGCCACCGGTTTCTGAAAATGTTTGGGCAGTATTCAAAGGTTCAAATCTAATCCCGCTGGTGCCTTCACTGGCGGAAAATGTACTGCTTCTACCTTTGGACCCGAAGGTCGCCTTATCCGAAGACCCAGTAGTTTTGCCGAACCCTGCAACAACATTTACCATATAAGCTACCAAATAACTACAGTTATATTTAGAAGTATGAGGACTACACTAAATTATACTTTACCTTCACGCATACCATTTTCTCCATGTGTCTCGGTCCTGTCATCCTTATTCGAAGAGCAGTTCGTACCAAACACGCTCAATTGGCCCGAGTCTGGTGGTGTTTCTAGGATGAGAGAAAAAAAAATTGTTTAAAGAACACTATATTTGACTTCGAAGCAAAAACGTTTGTAAAAAAAGCAGAAGTACACTTCTATTACTGTTTTCTTTGATATTTTTGTAACAACAAAAAATGATCAAGGGCTTTTGAAAATATCTGGACTTAACACATTGAACTTTTAATATCTTATCGTTAATAACACTTAAGTTCTGATGTAGCATAATTAGTCCACAACGTCTACAGTCCGCCTGTGAGGTAGGCAAAACCCTGTCACATTCCACATATATTTTTTTGTGAAAACCACCAACTATTTTACTAATAATTATTGAAAATTACGTACCTGCACCCATGTCTTGGTCCAGCACATTGCAAGCGATACAAATTCTTGATGAATCTGTCCGTAGTACGGAACAGGATGAGTGGTCATGGACATTTTTTCCACAAACAGTGCATTTTGTGGACCCTTCCTCAGGAAACATCTTACTCAGACACAACACACAACCTCCTTTCTTGTGGAAAAAATTTAATCCAGAAGCAAGAATCATTGTTTTCTTTAAAATGTCGATGTGATCTTGTAGGAAAATATCAACTCTCAGCTTTTCCGTAATAAGGTTGTGTTTTAAGTCATTAAAATAACTTTCAACAGACGCACCAACTCCAGTCTCGTACGGGCTTGCCATGGCGCGAGCTAAAATGTTGGACCACAGGGGTAATTTGTAGCACAGGTCTAAAAAGGCTTTCCTAAAAGCAACGTCAAACATCAAGTTGTCTCTATCTCCATCGACAACACTGCTTGCTTCCTCAGTGCTTTCAAGAAATAAATCATCGATCCACACATGGAGGTTTCTTGGATTTGCTTCAAAATCTTCGGCGAGTGTCTGGATTTCTTCTGTCTCTAAATCTTGTGCATATGCATCGACGAACTCCATTGCTGGTCTCTCTTTACCTATCAAATCAAGCAGTCGTCTTTTGTGGGTCTCACATGGAGTTTCATCACCCGTACTCTCTGAAAACCCCTCTGTCTCACAAGATGAAACAAGTAAAATGGACTGAATGATATCTTTAGCTTCTTGTAGGGTTTTTGCTAAAACGACAAGATAAACACAGCGAATAAAAAATTCCTTGCACTTCTTTTTCATTGCTTTGACAGATTTCCATTTTGTTATCATGGCGATGAAGTGAGCGACATCAATCCTAATAAGCACGGCGGGTCTTGGGTTCATGATGGGTGACAGCATGAACAGGAAACAGGAGTCTATGTACTCATCACGGCTGTTGACTCCTGCGAAGACTTTGCACACTGCTAACAAAAAGGCTGCTGAAAAGTCAATGACTATTTCATTTGGTTTGCTGGCACCATTTAAAAGCCAGTTTTCCAGCCAATGTGAAATGGCAATGGTATTCTGCCTCTCTGAAATCATCTGCGCTACTGGAGCCTGGCCTTCGTGCTCACCTGGAATGCTGATAACTATTTCATAGAGAAATAGGTGGCCTGACATTCCAACCGGTCTTGGTATTTTCCTCACTATGTCACCGGAAGCATCCATTATTATACGTGAGTACAGCCTGCGGTTATACTCATTGTACAGCCTCATCTGCTCAGGCAGGAAGTATTCCACAAAAAACGGATCATCGCCTAGATCAAAGATGCTTAGGCGGTACTCTTCACTGTATTTCAAGATACGGATTGCAGAAATTGCACATACTATCATTTCATTTGCCTTTTGGACATTCTCTGATACTTGATTGTTCTAAAAGTTTCAAGATTGGGCACAGTACCGGGTTCAATGTCGAACATTTTCATGTGTTCTCCTGCATACTCTTTCCTTATCCTTGAAGCTTTTAATTTTTCTGAAACCATTCTTTCCCCCAGCTCAGCCCTTTCCTGACCTTTGATGGGTCTCTTCTTGACGTCATCATGGGGCCCCATTCTGGCATCTGTAATTAACACTTCTAAGGTCAGGCCACTCTTCTCAGGATTTTCTTTCAGTGGATTGCGGCACGCAGCGAAGAGTTTCCCACCACACCCACATAAAGCATACAGTCGTAGGTAGAACTCAGGGTCAGTACTTGTACTTCTGGCTACATACTGCTTGTAGAAATTCCACGAACAAGGTAGTTTTGTTTCTTGATGGATAAGAACATTCATTATGGAGCTCCGCACACCAGGCTGCAGAGCAGAACGTCGTATTCCCTTTCCTTTGTCATACGTTTAGGATCATTTCTCTTCTGTACCACTACTGTAGGCTTCATAACTATCCACTTTTCCTTTGGAATAAATATTTTACGATTTATGGAGGAACTTGCTACTGAGTCGACAGATGATTCGGAGGATGCGTCATTTTCAGCATTCACATCAGACTCCGACCTAGATACAGCTGCTACTACACGTTCTCTCACTCCAATCTCACAAAGAATCCCACCATTAGGTCCTCTGTTGCAGGTTACATGTGTGTGCAAAGCATGCGCACTCATTGTAAGTTGCTCTCTCTGTCGAATGGTTTCCCATATATCATAGTTCTTCGACACCACATTTCCGTGGACGACGATACGATCTTTATTAGCTATTAGAGCTTTCCGGACTTTCTCTGGATCGTCAGCAGGTTTCCTGCCACGTCGTACATCGGCCTGGAATTCAAGACATTTTGTATTTGTTAGAAAAACGTTGTGTACACGGAACTACAAGAAATTAAATTGTCATCGCAGCACAACTATGAAAGTTCAAATATGCACCTACCTGTTTAGAATTTTCATTATGTGTACTGGCCTTCAGACTACCTCGCTCTGTTTCATTGAGGGGGTTGTTGTTGTTATTGAAGTCTGCCATGCTGAAAAAGAGCAATTTAGTTCACTGATAACTTTTATTACCAATTTTTCGGCGCTCTTCTTAAACGACAAATTTTGGCCCACAAAAGCGACAAATGTTCGCATTCTTTAGGAAGAGTGCTTTTCGCCTCTTGCTTTTGGAAGGAGAACACTGGTTTTAAGGTCCACATAGTCTAAAAATGCAACAGTAAGAATTTTTTGTTACCCCTGTCGCAAGAGAAGAACGACTGTTGCTATACTAAAACAGTAGTAGTATCTCGAGGGGGTTTTCACTTCTGTAATACGTAGTACTTGATGTAGGTATTACTCTGTCGAAAAATAACAAAATATGCTCTAAAATGGTAGAATTTTACGAGCAATGCCGGCGTAATACCGCGTAAAATACGGATTATGTAGTACTGAGTGAACGAAAATTCCGAGTGAAAATCCCCTCGGAATATTCCAGCACTCTGAACTCAGCGGCCACTTCCAATGCCAAATTCTGCTCAAGGAAAGGCGACGACCCGGAGCGGCATTGTCCGGAATTGCTCTGCTGGGAGTCACGTTGGGATGAGATGCTCGCTTGTGTCGCAAGCATTTTCAGCCAGACACACGCACGGTGCGGAAAAGTAGGACCGCCCAGGCCAAAATTTCCATGCATGGGATTCCATGGGCGTCGCCGAGGGCGTCGCTCCCCGTGGGACTCAAGGTTTCCCATGGGGAAATTAATCCCACAAAAGTTTTGGCCGCAGTTCCCATGGTGTCCTGGTCTAACCGTTGGGTTCATCCCATGGGGAAAGCGGTCGTGTGGTGTCTGTGTGTCCCATGGTACAGAGTGCTTGCTTCCCATGAAGAGTCCCTTTCTCATCACTGTTAAACCAGTGGCATCCATAAATGCCAATTTTCGGCGCTTTTCTAATGCTAAAATTTGGCATTCTTACTGGAGGAGGCCGTAATTTGGAATTAAAAGAAGCCAAAAATAGGCATTTTTCAAGGGAAGGCCAAAATTTGGCATTAGAAGAGGGCACAGCGTTTACAGTGATGGTGATTAAAATCGGTAAACAAAGTGCAAAACAAAACTCACCGACGTTGTATCACATACGTCATATCGGTGACCGAGACGAGGAGCCGAATCCGTTGTCTATTTTATCCTAGACATAGCCGTTTTCAAGATGGCAGAAAAAAGTGCTCGGATTTTAACCAAATTGAAATGGCCCTAATAAAATATGCCGTAGGTGTTCCATAGCAAATTTTAGGTCAATATTGTAAGAAATACACATTTTGTAGCGTTTTCAATTTTCATGGGAAGTGGGATTTCCCATGGAATTGGGTCCACACCATGGCAGAAGTCAAGCCATGGTAGCATAGATGCTACGCCCATGGTCCGATAAGTTCCATGGAAAGGTGGCACGGGACCATTTTCCCCATGAGAACACAGGTCTATACCAAGGTACGGTGCCACGAAGACTCTCCATGGGAATAGCTCGAGCTCCCATGAGAGGAATGAACGTTACCATAGACAGAAAACTGTCCCATGGTGAACGCGGGCTTCGCCATGGGTAAAAGGTTCTTTTCTTTCCACGGGAAACCTTCCAATCCTCATGAGACTATGGCCATGGTGTGTCATGGGATCCAATGGGAAAGTCATGGAAATTTTGGCCTGGGCCCCAGGTAGCCCATTCCAAATTGAAGGCCGAGGTGGAAAGTAGTCGAGGTTCGAGTCTTAAATGATAGATTTTTACTAGTAATGAGCTTTAGACTTGGTCCGAACACTGTGCGACGAAGCGCCAGTGAGCTGATTGATCTGAAAGTTACGCTCGTTTGGCGCGTCAGTACCGAGGCGTCATCTTTGAGCGCACGCCGCGCACGACACGCGGTGCCGAGAGGAGTGACTCAGTGCCGAGGTAAGTCCATATGACCTCTACTTTCTGCCCGACTTCGAAAATCCGCGCTCGGCCGACCCTTGTCACGTCCAGGGGCCTAAATGTCGCGATTTACGCCACTTGAGATTGACGGAAAACTATCGAACATAAGTGGGTGATTTTTTCGATCGGGCAGGTCGGGCAGGTCATGCCCTTTCCAACGCCGCATAGCATGCCACTAAGACGCCACGGGTGTGGGAGTGATCGCGAAAAGAGTGACGAGCGCGGAGCGGCGACGGCCGGCTGACATTCGAACAATGCGCGCGCGGCGCGCCGCACCGGCCCGGGCCGCCCGGCCCGGGCGTGGTGGGGGAACCAAGGCTGGCGGGGAGGGGC